CAGAATGTCTTCAGGGCGTCTCTGTGTCTCAGAATGTCTTCAGGGCGTCTCCAGAATGTCTTCAGGGCGTCTCCAGAATGTCTCATGACTTTGTCCAGCTTCGGGACGGTTCACTTTGAGTCTTCAGAGTCAGAACTGAAGACTCAACCGAACCTTAAGGGAAACTAAAACATCTAAAACCGAATGGGTTCAGCTCAGAATCCTTCTGGTCTGCAGGAACTAAAATCCAGTTTCACCTCCAGAACAGAACCAGCAGGGGGCAGCAGAGCCACTCGTGATGTCATCAGGGGGCTTTAGTTCCTCTGTCAGCTCAGAGGGACAAAAAACCTCTGAAGGTTTTTTGAAACGATGAGATTAAAGTCCTGAGAAGATCCAGCAGGTTTAGACCCTAACCCCTCCTGAACCGGACCTTCAGATGTTCTGGTGAAGTCCTGCAGAACCTCTAAGGATTAAAGGTCACTGATGGTGCCGAGCTGAAACTCTGCTCTTTAACTTTGTTTGCACTAAAACTCCTCGATGCTGAAACACTTTAAACTTCTCAGTTTTGGGACTTCTTGTGAAAGTGATTAGATTTTTGCTGTGAACCTTCTGGGTTTCTTTATGAAGAAACGTTTTTTTTTATTTTTATTAAAACCTTTTTATTATGTTTAACTTGTTGTTTCCGCAGCGGGCCATGAACCGCAGACTCTCAGAACCGGAGGGGCTGTTGTTCTGACCCGTTTGATAAATGTTCAGATGTCAGAACGTGCAGAGAAGAAGATTCAGGTTTTATTTCTGGTTTGTGGCTGTGAAGATGTTTGATGGCAGTAAAATCTAAACTGTAACCAGAGACTCAGTGAGGAAACATCTGGAACAGCTGCTGATCCAAGAGATCAGCACATACTGATGGAAAAACTCAGGACCAGTAAGGTAAAGAGATCCATCTTTTGGCCCCCAGTGTCCTCAGCTGGGGCTTCGGGGCCTCTTCAGTCTGATTTTGTGATGTTTTTATTTTTTTCTGGAATCTTTTAAATATTTTGAAGAAGGTTTGAATTTTCTGATTTAATAACTTTGTGATAAAACTGTTCTGAAATCAGCTCTGTGTCACGTTTATTTTTAAACATGAATAAAAATCGGTTTTGTAATGCGAGCACGTCTGCCTGCTGCAGGTTCAGTGGATCATTGAAGCCGTTTTTTACTGAAGATGCGTTCAGGTTCTCTACTTCACACAAGCAGCAGCTGCTTTATACGTCCAGGAGTTAAAAGTGGCTAAAGAAGTGGATGTTTGACCCTCGTTAGGATCTCTGGAGCCTTCAAGCTTTCCATCAGACGTTCACCCCGGTGAAGGAGATCAGATACTGGGTAGACTGGTTCTGTTCACCTCACTGAACCTGGAGCAGAGACTTGAGGAGCTCAGTATAGAGATCCACGCTAAAGACCATCCCCAAGCTGCTTCATGTTCTTCTGACAGCAGCTGCAAGATTAATAACACGTAGAAGGTTTGTGGGACTGTCGCCAACCTCCAAGGACATGGACGCAAGAAGAAATGTGACCCCAGGCACAAAGCCAAGGAAACTACTCAAAACTATTCAAGCTTAAAGCCAAGATGGTTTGTCACTTTCTGATCACGCCATCCGTCACATGATTGCTGGACATGGGCACCCGCAACCCAAAAAAGAAGCGAGTAAAGACGATGGATGTTCAGTGTGGGGGTGGAGAGGGCCACGGCTTTCTTCTAGGGAAGAAGCTGACGGGTCTGTCGGTGCGAGATCTTGTTCTCCTGAACTGCTACCCAGATGGTAACAGTTTGAAGAATGGATGGACGGGTGTGTACAGGGATGGGAGCTCCAGACTGATGATAATCTGGGCCGTTTTCACAACTGGTCAGGTTCTGCTCAGCGGCTGACAAAATACACCATGTGAACATGTGAAGATGTTTTCAGCTGTGCTACAGAAATGGGCCTGAAGTTTTTGAGCTGAGCCTGTTTGAACTTTTTGGAAGAAGACTCTGCTGGACTAAAGTACATAAACACACAGGCTGAAAAGTACCAACCACTACACTAACACAATGTGCAACACCAATTTAAAAATCGGTGTCTATGTATTTTTTTATGTATTAGTGTATATTTTGTAGTTTTATTGTTAAATGCTTGATTTTAGTTTAACATTTGTGTTATAAATTCCCTAGTATAACTGCATGTTCTGAGCACGATCTGTTTAGTAGAAACCAACTCGATGAAAACGAGCCCAACTGGCAACCCACCACATTAAAACAGGCCGTTTTTAAAACAGTATAAACACATTTATTATGGCATTACACATAAACAACAAAATTATGCTAAACAATTTGAATAACATACTTTTAAACTCTGATAAAAAGTACATTTTGCACAAGTAATTTTTTTTTTACATATTAAAAAAAAAAAAAACATCTGCGTGTGAGTAAAGCCCCAAATGGTCCGCCACAGTAGGAGTGTTTATTTTGGTGCGCACTCTCACGTGCCCCCCATGTGATCATCTACGTATGCCCTCCATAGAGGAAACGGTGGCTTGGAAGGGACAAACTACCACTCGTTTTTTGCTTTATTGTGCGGAGCTGGGAGATAATCAACTAGTTTCACTCGGAAAGAAAGTCATGCCCAAATAAGCAACTTCACGTTCAAAACAAACCCAAAAACCGCCAATCACAAAATTTGCAAGCGACTTTAGAAAGCGGACTTGGCAGCTGTGTAGTGTTTTTTTTTTTTTTACATTAGGCACCTTGTTGGGCAGCTATGGGGTCCTCGCAAATATATATATTGAATTGTTCGCTGCGCTTCGGTTCTTTTTTTTTTTTTTTTTGCTTCTGTGACTGTCTGCGTTTGTTATAAAGGTGAGTTATAACAACAATTTCTATTTAGTTTTTTTCATATGCAAATGAAACGGCGCTAATATATATTAGCATGCTAGCATCATAGCGCTAATATATATTAGCATGTTAGCATCACTTAGCGCTAATATATATTAGCATGTTAGCATCACTTAGCGCTAATATATATTAGCATGTTAGCATCACTTGTGTAGGCATGCAGGGTTGCCAACTCCTTGAAAAATAAAGAAGGGACACCTCATGGCAGGGCTGACCGACCCCATTACCTTCACCCTTACCTGCGTGATGGTTCACCCTTCCCCTCTGCTTTTCTTGCTCTGAAAAGAGCCTGAATTTAATTGGATGCATGTTTTTGAATGATAAATTATGCATAGAACGTTAATTATTACACACTTTATTTTGAGAGCAGATAGAAATAGCAGAGTAAAATCTTTCTAAAATGAACTGATCTTTCTTAAACATTCTTCTGTTCTGCTTATAATAACAGAAAGCAATAAGAACATTTGTGTAATAATGCATTTAATGCAAACATAAAGCTTGTAGGAAATTTGTAAACAAACGCATTGTGCCTCAAAGGCTTTGACTTTTCACTTGTGGTAAAAAAATAAATAAAAATAAAATCTTGTAAACTGTGCAGTGCTCCATCATGTGGAGTCAACCTGTTTCTTCCATTTGTATTCAGAACGTAAAGAGTGGTTTGTTTTTCAGAGCCAAAGAATAAAACTCTCAGCAAGACGTTTCAATATTTACACTGACACTTCTAATTAATTTAGAAGAACATTTGTTTCAAACATCAGTCCACTTATTTTTCATGAGAGAGACAATCCTTTCCACAAATGCAGTGGAAGATGGGATGCTGAGGACAAAGGATGCAACATCTGGATGAAATGTTCCCTCTTAATTTTTCACATATCTGGGCAAACACAAGCGCACTGAGGACCACTGTGAGCAACATCAGACGTGCACGCTGTGGTCACACACCAGAAACACATCTGTTCACAACCTGGGATCATATCAAGTTACATGGCTTATTAAAAGAATCAAATTACAGCAGAAATTTCCATTAGTTTACTTTTAATATAAGTGATTTGGCCCACTTCAAATGAAAAAGACAAAAATCAAGTTCCTTTACTGTCATTAACATCACATGTAGTACATGCGGTGGAACAAAATTGTGTACACAGGGTCCCAGTTACATCCAGAAAAAGTATAAAAAGAAAAACAGTAATAAAATATGAACTAAGTAATACATTAAACACTATAGTGCAAAAACAATACGCCGAACAACAGCAGCACGAACGTGAGTGTGAGTAGATGAGTATGAATGAATACAGCAGCATGAAATAAATCAGCAGCATGAGATCAGCAACAGGGGTAGTCAGCAGCACACGATCAAAGTGGCATTGCAGTGGTTCTTCTGGTTAGGGATTTAGGAGTAACAGCTTCAGGGTAGAAGCTCAGTCTGGTCAGTGGTTCTGCACTTAATGCTTCAACCTCCTGCCTGAGGGGAGTGGGGCACAAGGTCTGTGTGATGGTGAGTGAGGTCCTTCATGGTGCAAGGAAGCAATTTATGTAAAACGAGAGAAACAATGTTTAAACAGAGGAGGTCTCAGATTTCAACTTTGAAAAACTTATAATGCAGCTTTAGGGCTGATCTCCAGCCATTTCTACACCTATCAGGAATTTCAACAATGTGAGCAGAGTGGCTCCTCGCTGGTGGGACTAACAAAGACCCAAACAATCCTCTATTGTGGAGTCAATCTGCACATCAATCCATCAAGCATAAAGAGCAACTCAACAGAACCTTGTTTCTTTGAAAAAGCTCCTCATGTGAGAAGCAAATTGTCTTCAGCTACAGAACAGAAGCTTGGTTGTTTTTGCTTTTAATCTTGTTTTGACAAAGTATTAAAAAACTGTTTATTTATTGTTTATTAACCTTTATTTAACCAGTCAAATCCCACTGAGATCACAGATCTATTTTGCAAAGGAGGCCTGAAGGCAACTTAACATGTATGTTTTTGATCTGTGGGAGGAAACTGAAGTACTCTGAGAAAATCCACGCAAGCACGAGAAGAACATGCAAACTCCACACAGAAAGACCCCAGGTCCAACCGGGGATTGAACCCAGGACCTTCTTGCTGTGAGGCAACAGTGCTAACCACTGAGCCGTCATGATATATTAAACAGCAGCCTGAACATGAGTCTGTGGTGAGCAGATGGGTATGAATGAATACAGCAGCATGGATAATCAGCAGCACAGATAAGTCGCATATCACCAATTAAAGTGGCATTACAGTGATTTTTTATTTTATTTTATTTTTTTTACAATGATTATCCTGATTAAGGATTTATGAGTCTTTAACTCATTTACTAACTGTTGACATGGACATGTTTTTTTAATTGTCACTATAATACGGGACAAAGTGCTCCTATTCCACCTCAATACGGAACACATACTTTTGTTTCTAAATACGGGACGATCCCATTTTTTACGGGATGTTTGGCAACCCTAGTTCTAAGTGACTTGCTAATGGTCATTTAAGTTGAAGCTAAGCCACAAGTTACCATGTGCTGGATTTAGTCTTCTCAGTTATATTCTGTTTCTTTATTTCAGACACACAGACCGAGAGTCAAATGTCCCTTTTCCATGAGTAACGGTACAGCACGGATCGACTCCACTCTCCACGCTTCCAGTGCTTTTCCAACCAGTCCCTTTTTCAGGACCCATTCCTCTGGGGTTTCAGCCGTGCTGAACTGGTCCTAAAAGTTGACGTCAGAGCACTGATTGGTCCGGGGGTGCAGTCACTCGTGGTTTGAGAAACTTTCACATCAACCAGATCCGCCATTTTCACTACAATCACTCGAACTCGCAGGAGCTACTGGACGTATTTTGAAGATATAACAAAACAATAATGTCATCACCGTGGTCCAATGCAGAAGTGCAGGCGTTTTTGTGCTTGGTGGCCGAAGAAAATATTCAGAGCGAGCTGGATGGAGCGACCCGTAACGAAAAGGTGTTTAAAGAGTTGTCAGAGCGGTTGGCTCCTCAGGGCTACCAGCGAACATCCAAGCAATGTCGGGACAAGCTAAAAAAACTAAAGTGCGATTACCGCACAGTTAAAGAGTTCAACAGCAGGAGCAAATCAAACCAACGAAACTGGAAATGGTACGATCAGATGGATGCCATTTACGGTAATGGCCAAGCTAACGATGGGGGAGAGAGTTGCTTGAACACAGCTACCGCTCAAGAGGAACCAATGAGGGAAGATGGTGAGTTTTTTCTACATATAAGCATATTTTAAGTTACTAATCCATCAGTTTTGAGCACATTTTGAACAAACGAGAGGCTGACGCCATTTCCCATGATGCGCTCCTCATTAGTTAGCATCAATGCTAACTGTGCCCTGTTCCTGTTTTCCACTCTGTTTTGATCCATAATGTCTCTTAGCATGTGAAGGTTCGTCAGCAAATGCCATTTTGGACGGTCCAAGCCTCCCGGCTTCTGCCCCTGCACCATCAGCACCATCTACGCCTAGCACCACGCAGAGCAGCCCAACACAGCAGCCTGCTGTACCTGGTAAGAAGCAGCAATCGTGTTTCACATCACTTTATTTGTGCCCATAGGAAAGGACTTGCTTGACTTCTTCTTCTTTTAGTAAAACAAATTAAAAGTGCAGTATTGTAAACCTACTGATACATTTATTTATTTTTAATGTTCATTTTAATTTTTCTTATTTATTTTATTATTAATTGTGTTATTCGTTCATATTTATTTTATCATTTTATTATTGTAATTATTATTATTATTTTTAAGCTGCTCAAATAGATGTAAATGTAACTGGTTTGTACCCAACTGTTTACGAGCACACTCAAAGTTTTCATTATGTTCAGAGCCACAGAAATGATCTTTCAAACAGCAAAGACCTTCAGTAGCAGCGCCTTTCTGCATTTCTTCAAAAACAGCATCTAGACTCCATTAACCACCTGACATTTCTTCTTTCTTCTGTTTAGCCAAGAGGAAGAGTAAATTGGCAAATACACACCAGTCTTTGATTTCTGAGCTGAAAAAAGAAGACGAACTGAACCGGGCACAGAGGGAAAATCACTTTCGTCTTCTTTTAGAAGACGCGCGTGAGGCTAGGCAACAGGAAGCAGCGGCAGCGGCCGCGGCAAGAGATCAGGAAGCAGCCCTACGAAGGGAGGAGGCTGCTCAGACTGCTGCCTTCAATCAAGCCTTCCTTGGGGTGCTGGGAGACATTGCACGTTCCATGACCAACAGATATGCAACATCGTTTTAAATAGATAGATTTTGATAGGTTGATGGATGGATGGAGATACATATACAACCAGTTGTTAGTTGATCTTTTTTTTTTATTGTACATTTGTTACTTTACAATAAAAAATGTTTTTCGTATGTGCTTTCTATGTTAAGAGCTTACAGTATTTGTTAAAGTCCATAGTGGAAGTTAAGCAAATTTTCCATTTGCATTTGAGGTTTAATGACTCCTAAGAAAAGATGATCAGAATCTGTTCACCTGTTTTTAAATTGGTCTTTTTTTTTGGTTCCAGACTGAAGTCATCAGACCAAAAATTGCTTCATCACGGTACTTCGGTAATTCCAGTGAAATTATGACGGCTTGTACTGTGGGGGCTGAGATGGAGAAGAGGCAGGCCAGCTGACTCGGGACATGAAAGTCCCAGGTTCGGTCCCCAGTCATTGCACTTCTCGTGTCTCTGAGCAGCACACCCCATCCCCAACTGCCCCCTGGACACCCCCCAACAGCCGCCCACCGCACCACCCGGGGGCCGACGGGCAAAATGCAGAGAGCCAATTTCACCATTGTATGGGAACAAACGATGACACAACACATTATTATTGTGAAGATGCACAGAGAACAAAAATAAACAAATCTTGAGTTTTCAATTCATGTGTAATATAAATTAGTTTATAATATATAGTACAGATAATATGTATATATATATATATATATAATTAAAGTAATATATGTATGTGCATATATATAAATGTGTATATATATTTTTTTTTCATTCAACATTTATTTAGACGGGTAAATCCCATTGAGCCTCGAGGACTCATTTACAAGAGAGACCTGATTTTAATAAAGAATGATGACAACAATGGACAACAATAGACAACAATAAACAGTTATGAAAAGTAATACTACAGTTTTTTTTGTTGTTTTTTTTTTTTTATAACAAATAGGATGGCTAAAAGAAAAAGGTAACAAAAAAAACAGCTAGATTCTAAGGTGAATGTAGAAAACTAAAAACAGGAACACGTCTGCATTGGTCCCTGCCAGGAGTCCAACAGATTCTTAAAGCCAGAGGTCAAGGTCGAGAGATTCCATTGTTTTTGTAAGGTATTCCAGGAAACAGGAGCGGAGTAGGAGAAGACCCTTTTGCCAAGTTCAGTCCTCATTGAGGGAACACTGCAGGTAATAATGTCCTGAGAGCGCACGCCGTAGCTGCACTCACGCAGAGACATGTAGGAGGAGATGTATGAAGGCAGCAGACCAAGAAGTGATTTGAAGATGAAAATATATACATAATGTGAAAAATATACATGTGTTAAGGCTGGACAATAATTCAATATCGATATATGTCACGATACAATTTTATTCAATAACAATGATATGAGTTTTAAGCACATTTTTGATATTTCGATATGATTACAACGTTTCACTGACACATTTCTTTTTCTGTCCGGGTTGAAGCGGCCACTTTAGTTTCAACCTGGACAGAAAAAGGTGCGACACAACTAAGAAATATATCGTGATAAAAGTTTTGGCCATATTGTCCAGCCCTAATATATTTGTATGTATAAGTATGTGTGTGTGTGTAAACAAACCACGAAGTAGCGAGGGACTATTACGTACGTAGTAGTCCCTCACTACTTCGTGGTTCATTTATGATGGATTGTTTATGCCCACAAGTGCAAGAGAAAGCTCCCTCCTGCAGCTGATCAGCTGATCTTCTCTGCCACCACACATTTCTCCTGCAGCAGCTTTGTGAAGGGTTCACCCTTTGCTGTCCAGATGCACCGATCGACTTTTGTCTTCTAACTCAAAATTCAAAGTATGTCATAATCACAAACTATTAAAGTGTTAGTTATATTTAATTATTTTAGAACTTCTATGTTCAGTTGTTTCAGTGTCATTGATCAAGAAGTTCATTACACTACAGTCCTCTGAGGATTACTTCTTCAGGGAATTTCTGGGCTCCTCAGCATTGTGCTGAAATGTCTCATAAAAAGGCAAAACAAACAGGAGGTCCTGAAATACTCATTGTTTTATAAATGAAACCATTAAACTATTTTTTTTTTTTTTTTTGTAGAAAGGAGGAAAAAAAAATTCCAACAAAATAATTGTTAAATGTCAAAAATAAAACTAAATACAGTGGTGCTTGAAAGTTTGTGAAGCCTTAAGAATTGTCTATATTTCTGCATAAATATGATCTAAAACATCAGACAAGTTCTAAAAGTAGATAAAGAGAACCAAGTGAAACAACATTTTTATACTTTGTAATTTATTTATTGAGGAAAATGATCCAATATTACATATTTAACAATCACATATTACATACATGATTGTTAAATATGTAATATATTTTATAATATATGAATTTATGAAAAATGTTACATATTTTGTATTTGAAAAAGCAAACGTATTTTACAAAATAAACATTTTATATATGAATATATTACATATTTAACGAGCAACGTGCACACTCTGTAAAACGTGTGCCCTGTGGTAGGCCAGTGTGTATCTGCTTTAAAACGTGGACCGCTCGAGGAAGAAAGCTCGTCTTCCTCCTTCATGTCCTGTAGTTTGGAGACTGGTCTCATCCTGAGGGGAGCCACTCGAACCCCTGAAGCAGGTTAGGTATTTTATTTTGTCCCATTCTTTTTTGGAAACCAGCTCATTTTAGACTGGGTAGAGATCCAGAACCTGCCTACTGCCCCATTCCATTGTAGATCTGGTTGAATGTTAAACGTCCTGCTGGAAGGTGAACCTCTGCCCCAGTCTCAGCTCTTCTACAGCCACAGGGTCTCTTCCAGGACTGTCCTGTATTTACCGCCATCCTCTGCCCAAGATTTAAAGGTAAATAATAAATGTTGTGATGCACAATATTGGATTTTTGGTCGATATGCCGATATGTTAAAGCTTATTTGGCCGATAACCGATACCAATATTTTTTCCCTAGCCCTACTTACAGAGACTACAGAGCTTTCTGTTGCGGAATTAAAATGCATTATTCTGCATGGTCTTTGTCAATTTGGCCTCATACCAAATGCAGATGCCAAAAAAACGCACACAGCAGGTTGTTCATTCAACCTCTATTTATGGTTAATCCCACTGAGCCTCGTGGACTCATTTACCGGTACAAGAGAGACCTGAAAACATGTAAACTTTGTTATATTTATCAGAGTAGATACAAATCCACTACCTACAAAATACAAATATACAAAAATACCTGTGATTATTCTGTGTTCAAAAGATCAAAACAAGTTTTTTTTTCAACATTTAATTTAGGCAACATTGATTGGTTCCAGCAACAGTTAATGTACATTTTGGTTCTGTTTGTTGAGAATTACTTCATAGAAACCTACTGGATCAGTGTTAAATTTAATTTGAATGAATAGCTGGACGGGCAGATGGAGTGGGTGGGTGGATGGATTGTTAAGTGGATGGATGGGTGAATGAGTGGTTGGATGGATGGATGGACTTTAATAATCGCAGGCTATGAAAGCCTTTCGGTGCAGCAAAAAAACTTTTTTTTTTTACAGCTACCGGGATTCAAATTGTGCAAAATATGTTTTATGGTTTTAATTGTGCAAAAAATAAACTTAGTTGAATATATCAAACTCCATGCTCAATAATCCAGGTATACAATCCAACATTTTTCAGTCAGGTCATCTGGACAGTTTCTTTTTTTTTTGTGCTGAAACGTTTCGCCTTCGGTCCGGAAGGCTTCATCAGTCAAGGAAACACAACAAAACTGATTCTTACTCCAAAGTGGAACAAACCAGTTCTGCTTGTGATAAGATGGTCTCTTTGGTACACCCCTTCCTCCATTGTCGGCCCTCTTCCTTGTTGACAGTCTTGTCAAACTGGTTGAAAACATCAAAGTCCATGCTCAATAATCCAGATATACAATCCAACATTTTTCAGTCAGGTCATCTGGACAGTTGACCTGTTGAATATACATTTTAATTATTTAACCATTCAATTTATTATAGCTGATTTTGATGTCAAAGCTGAAAATACTGTACTTCATTAAGGGACCCTAGGTTCATCTGAGTCTTGTTCATTGGCTGTTTTTGTCACATGGGCTTAATCCGCGACAGATGATTGGTTTATTTTGGAGTCAATGGGAGGAGCTAAATTTGAACAGCAGTCGCCGCCTTCATAAGTCTCAGATTTCTCTCCGCTACAGGAGTTTTAACAAACTGATAGTAACGGCAACAGCTTGATTTTACCTTCTGCTGTTACAGACCAGTGTCATTTTACTTATTATATCCTAAACTTTTACTGTTCCTTGTATTGTCATGGCTGACAGGGCGGACGGAGGAGCTCTCATCACCTCTAAGAGGAGGCAGCAGCCGGCGAGGAGGACGAGGCGACACATCCCGAGGAAGAGCTGCAGCAGCCGGGTACAGTCCGAGCTAACCCCGGTTAGCATCCGAGTTCCGTTAGCTCCGTCTGGTTTTAATAAAGTTTAAACGAGTTACCAAGTTTAACAAGCCGTAACCAAAAACCGAAGTCCGTTATTATTAAAATACAGCTGTACTTCCGAATAATCTGAACTTTAGTGAAGTTTATTGAATGTTTTTTTGTTTCGTGGCAACAAGCTAATGTTTAGATAAAAACAAGAAGTAGGCCACCGGTGTAACGGAAAACTTTGTTACCCCGTTTTTAAAAGCTCGTTACCAGTTTAACCTGGTCCAGTTTAAAAACCATCATATTACTCGTATTTTTAAATCAGTTTATGGTCTGTGAAGCCATAAAATGTTAACTAAAATGCTACAAGTAGTATGTTAAAGTCAAGTTATTGACTAAAGATTTCCTCAGGACTTTGGCTGCTTTTTCTCTGTTTCTGTTCCTGAACATTTTCAGAGAAATGTTTTTAAATTCGACTTCTTCAGGCAGAACAATCAGATGAGCTTTAAAGCGCATAAAGCAACAAGAGATGGTTCACGTTTCCCTCAAAACACAGCTGCAGTGGATTAAAATCAGGATAAAACTACAATAAACAAGAACAAAGTATAACTAAATTAATGACTAAAATTACAGGTTACTTTAAAAGCTAAAATTACAGAAAGCTAAAGTGTTAACGTGAGTTACAATCCTGATTAAATAAATGTCTAACGTGTCCTGCAAACTTTAAAATTGTACAAAGTTCCTCCTGAACGTAACTGCAGATTGTAGTTTGCTCCAGAAGTTGTCTAGATATATTGAGGGCAGCTCAGCTGTGGATGAGGCTAGAGCAGTCGTCCTCCAATGCGAGAGTTGGGGGTTTGATTCCACCAGCAGTCACATGCTGAAGTGCCCCTGGGCAAGACACTGAACCACTCACTGCCTCAAATGTGTGTCCCGTCGGTGTATGACTGTGATAAAGCTCTGATTAGTCTTTGTATAGGTTTAGTAGAGTGAAAGCGCGTTGAGTATTTTGACAAGACAGAAAATCATCTAAGTCATATAAGTACAGTCTATTTACCATATATTGATATCCATTTCTGAAATGCAGGTACGCACTCGATGTAAACAAAGCGCTGCAGTGAATCAAACTAGGATGAAGCTCGAGTCATGTGACTAACTTGCATCAGGCTGGCTTTAGTCTTCAGTCCCTGATGCCCTGTTTACGTGAGAACAACCTCTGGAAACGTCCTGATGCATGCTCAACAATCCAGGTAGATAAATTTAACAAGGTTGAGTCAGGTCTTCTGATGGATTCTTCTTGAAACGTGTCTTTTATCCAAAACGATTCAGTCTCGGGAAAACAGTCTTATAAGCAACACCTTCTCATAGTTGATCAACCATTTTGTTGTGGACAGCCAGAAATGTCTGTTCACATGATAAAAGACCATCAGCCTAACACTTGATCGTTAGCACCTGAACAATAGGTCGTTACTGGATTATTGAGCATTCATCAGGACATTCACTTCACTCCTCTCAAAACGACGTTCTTTCAGGGATGAAGATGTGCACATCATTGATAGAGAGGAACATTGGTTTGAGAGAGGAGTAAAGGAAGAGGAAGCCATCTCTGAAGAGAACCCGAGAGAATCTCCTCCGTTGTCGACTCGGCTCGTCATGTCGCTATGTTTACATGCGCAAAATTTTTTGACCGGATTGAAATGTTTTCAGATGAAATGATTCAAATGTATCGTTTACATGGGCACAATCTGTTCATGACAAGCGTTTACATGCAACGGGCTTTGTTCTGAACAGAAGTACTGACATGTGCAGAGTGGTAAAATCTCCTTTAAAAAAAAACTGAAGAAGTTCTACTTCCGAGATGAACGTAAATAAACCTGAGCACCCAAAATGGACCCGCGACAGGTTTTAATGACGGTGGAGACGTTACTGCACTCCCTGACTGAGCTGCAGGTGATACAGATCATTTTGAGCTCTTTCAAAGTTTCTAGTAGAAATGTTGTCGCTCTCCGACCAGTTTTGCTTCCCCGACATGCTAATGTTATTAGCATTAGCCAGGCGGAAATGACAAAGTCGCACATGCGCAGTCAGGTCAGTTTTTCACGATCGGATAAAAACGAACACATCAAGTGTTTACATGCGCACCGTTCGGGTTATGAATCAGCGGAAACCACCCGTTTCGTTCTGATCACAAATTATTTCGGATCACACTGAATCAACAAAAAATAACCCGAACGAGGCGTTTACATGACGCGTTTTTATTCCGAACGGCCGTTTGATCCGGTTACTTATGTCCATGTAAACATAGCTACTCACTGTTTTTAAAACGGCAAGGTATCAAGTTGTCTTATTAAAAAAACCAAATCCACTTTAGGGTGATTTTAATGCTGTGTTTCTTCTGGTATCTAAACACAAATACCTTCTTTCTTCTTGTTCTGGTATTAACGCAAACAGATGCTCAAAGAGCAAGGCTCCATCTGTGTCCAGAGAGAAAATCTCCAACGCACAGCACTTTACACAGAGCGGTGCGTTCAGTAGCGTCGGAACAGCCACGGTGCATTCAAGAGCATAGGAACCACGGAATTCAGAAAGAAACGAGCCATAACCAAACAGAACCGAGCTCAGTAAACAAGACGACTACACAACACGTGGGCTTTCTAACAGCTTTGTTAATGAAGGTTAACAAGGGTTGAATGAAAACACTTCGTTTAGAATCAGACTTTTTAAAGAACAAGTCATCCTTTCATTTGCTCTGTGTGTTTTGAATTTTAGGTGCACAGCTGTTTTTTTATTTTTTTTATGCAGGAAAAACATTATTTTTGAGACATTTCTTTGTGCAGTTACAGCTGTTTGTTAATAAAGGTGCCTGTGTGACAACTGGGACTAAACTTTGACTCAGAAATATATTTTTGTTATTACTTTATGGAAAGAAAACATATTGACATATATCGTATATCACCATTCATTAAAAAAAATATTGAGAGGTCCAAAAACGTCCCCGGCAGACGGACAATATCTGAAATAGGGGTGCGAAGCTCTGTGTCTGGCGATTCGATTCATTTCCGTTTTTTGGTTTCACAATTCGATTCAAAATCGATTTTTCGATTCAGAAACTATATTTTTCTATTGAAATGGTCATACATTTTGTTTAAATTATGTAATTTACTGGATGAAAAGATTAAACAACAATGTAAACAAGTAGAACATTTATTTAAAACAATAATTTTATGTATCAAATCTTTTTGCATCATTTTATATTTATACCAAAAATCGGAACAAATATAGGGGTTCATAACATTCTGTAACTTAAATTACCAATATTAGGTTAACTTAGCTGCCTGGATTTTTCACCAAATATAAAATCTATGAACTATATTTCATCAATCACCCACTTCTTCCTTTTCGGGTCAAGGGTGTCACTGGTGCTCATCAGCCATCACTGTGCAAGAGGTGGGGGACACTCTGGACAGGTCTCAAGTCCATCACAGACAAATAATTCAAAATTACATAAATACAAAAGTAAAACAACACTTGAGCCTACCATAGTGCATTAACCTTTAGTTGGTTTAAAGGTCCTTCGTGAGTTTCTTTGTGTTTCTGCTGTAAAACTGAAGGTCACCAGGTGTTCTTTCACAACCTGTTCAGCTGTTTTATCCTCGGGTGAGGCTGCTAAACTGAGATTTAAATGTTGTGTGTTTCAGGTGAGTTTGGAGAAAGTTCTTGGCATCAGCACAGTCAGCAGCAGTGGTTTGACCTCTGACCCCAACTCTGGACTCATTGCCTACCCTGCAGGGTAAGCTCCGCCTCTTTCCACTCACCTGTGTTATAAAGGACACCAACTTCCAGCCAACTCAGGAGCTGTCCAACGAAAAATAGCAAAAAGTCTTCATTTCTTTCCTGTAGCCCTCTGGTCCTGATCACAAGTTCCCCAGATCTTCTGAAGGTCTTTCAGAGGTTTTCTGTTTCATGTCTTGTTCCTGGACATTTTCACAAGAACGTCTTTAACCTCCGGTGCTGACCCAAGCTGCTGCTGATGATGATGATGATGATGGTGATGATGATGATGATGATGATTAGGGGTGCATCTCATCAAACAAGATTCTAACGTTTTTTTTATTTCCAATTTTCAAAAATGACCAAATCTTAATCAAAGGCAGCCTTTTTTTTAAATCAAATGAGTTCTTGGCTAAATAAATGATTTTTGTTTGTTTCATGTCTCGATATTCAAACAGAAATATAAAATGTATCTAAAAACAATTCTCACTCAAAATGAAGTTTACGGGATTTTATTTATTTAAGACGTGAATTTTTTCATAATCAGATTTTAGCTGATTTCTAAAGAAACCATTTTTGTCAAAGGAATCAAATTGTTGAGCTCCAAACATTAAACTTTAATTGCAGAAGAAAATGATTATTATATGGATAAAGTTTGAGCTGTGATGTGTCGGGAGTCTCAGGACTGACTGAGAAGGACATTAGAGTAAAACTCTTTTTTATTGTTATTATTATTTTCATCATATCTCATGAGACTGAAGCTCCACATTGTTTCCTGTTGAATCTGTTAAAGTTGAGAGGAGCAGAGTGGAAGTGAATTGGACTGTACCGTTCACTGAGCAACGCTTTGTGATCAAAATATGAAAACACACCAAGGAGTTTCACTCCGTCTCAGTTTTTGCCTAAAGTGCCTGACATGTTCAAACTGCTGCCACAGGAAGTGATCGTTTCACCTCCACGAGACGAGGTTTATCAAAACGTAAACAAAAATGTACTTTTATTGGTTTGTGAAACTTTTATTGACTCCAGTATATGTGTTTTAGTTTATCAGCATAATGATGGTGATGGCATTCCTCTTCAGTGTTCTGACAAACGGGAAGTTGACTCTGACAAACAGGAAGTTGGCTCTCTGTGTTTCAGGTGTGTCATTGTGCTGCTTCAGCCAAAGACCAACAGACAGACTCACATCATCAACGCATGCAGGAAGCCCTTCACCGCCGTGGCCTTCTCGCCTGATGGGAAACACCTGGTCACTGGAGAGGTGAGGTCTCTCTGACACACCTGAGGCTGCCAGAGCCAGCAGAGACCCTGACGACAGGTCCATTCTGTCCTTGGTCCTGACTGGGAAAACAAACGACAGTAACAACCCGTTTGCTTGTTTGTTTTTCAGAGTGGTCACATGCCCTGCGTACGAGTGTGGGAGGTTGATGGCGGCGGTGGTCAGGTGGCAGAGGTGCAGTCTCATAAATACGGCATTTCCTGCGTGGCGTTCTCCTCCAACAGCACCTACATTGTGTCGGTGGGATTCCAGCACGACAGAACCGTCAGCGTCTGGGACTGGAAGGTGAGAACAATCCGACCCGCTCCGTGTGTGCCGGCAGCTTGACCGAACGTCTGAGACGATGTTTTAGTTTAATATAATGATGTAATGCACGATGTCGTCCCTGATGTCTCGGGTTACGAGTTTATGATTGAAATCAACGTGTTGCCGTTTCTTTTGTACTACATGTTTTTTTCACCTCCTCCCTCTGAGCAGAAAGGCTCCGTCATCGCCTCCAACAAAGTGTCCAGCAGAGTCCTCTCCGTCTCCTTCTCTCAGGACAACAGTTACTTCGTCACCGCAGGAAACAGACACGTGAAGTTTTGGTACCTGGACGCCTCCAAAGAGCGGCGGGTGAGTCACCTGACCCGAGCAGCCAATCACAGCTCGTTTTACTGCTGTCTGTAGCGACACGCTGACCTTTGGTTTCTGGTCTTTACATCCAGGTGAACAGCACTGTCCCTCTGATCGGTCGGTCGGGGCTGCTAGACCACCATAAGAACAGTGTGTTCTGTGGCGTGGCGTGTGGGCGGGGCCTCCTGGCGAGCAACACCTACTGCATCACCAGCTGCGGTCTGCTGTGTCTGTTCAACAGCAGCCGACACCTGGAGGCCTGGGTCAGCCTGAAGGTGGGACCAGCACACCTGGATGGAATTTTATTCAATTCAACACTTTTACATTTTCTTTAACCGTTACCTGTCTTTGTTTCGATTCATCCCGGCTGACCTGTTGTTGTTGTTGTTGTTGTCAGGTGTCAGCGGCGAGCTGCCTGGCGGTCAGCAAGGACTTCATCTTCTGTGGATGTTCAGACGGGGTGATTAGAGTGTTCAGGCCGCCGGACCTGCAGTACGTCACCACGCTGCAGCGGCCGCACCGCCTCGGCGTCGACCTCGCTCGGAGCGCCCACCACGGGTACACGTACAGGAAATGTGCCACACGCATGATGAAGAACCCCTGAAATCCATCCTGACTGTCTCTGCTCCCTTTCAGCCCTCTGCCTGCCAGCTCCGAGGCTCAGTATCCCGACATGCTGGCTCTGACCTTTGACCCCAGAGGAAAACACCTGGCCTGTGTGTACAACGACCACAGTGTGTACGTGTGGGACGTTAAAGACGTGAGGGATGTCAGGAAGCTGTACTCGGCTCTGTACCACAGCAGCTGTGTGTGGAGCGTGGAGGTCAGTGTGAACTATCAGAACCGCTCACTGTGGGAAAAAGTTCTGGATCAAACTCAGCCGGGTCCGTTTTATTAAAGCTTTGTTGCCATTGATGAGCGCAACTCCTCTCGGCTCTCCTCACATCGGTTATCAGGGGGAGGTGATTTGCAAATGTGACTTATTTCCCCGCTCTGTGGGAGGGGTCATCAATGTAAAGTGGGCGGGATCATCATTGCGAAGTGGGCTGTACTGTAATTGGTCTTTTTGTGTTGGAACCACTCCACCCATTGTCCTCAATTGTCCTATAATGGGACTTCAGTTTCTTTGGCTTAACTGGCACTGCTTATAAATCCGGTGTAGCCATGCTCCGCCGTCATATCTCTCAGTAAATGCGCTCATTTCATGTGGCGCCGTCTTATCAACACCATCAGAGGAAGTGGAGGTGCAGATGTAGTTTGAAGTATTGCTGGGCAATCATCCAGTGACGTAGCTCCGCTGGCCAGTCAACGGCTGCTGCCTGCTTACGTCATAATCGTCACCTCAGAGGAGTTCACTTGGAACCTCGAACAAGGAGGTCCCAAAGACTGGGCTGAGTTGAGAGTGGGCACCAGCAGTGGGCAGGCCCCTTACTGGTGCCGTGTGGTGCGGAACCGATGAGAGTTGAGATGGTGGCAACGCGCCATAAGTCAGTGTCCAAATTGAAGGATTTTTCCCATCATGCCGTTCTGCAACTGTTTTTTCTGAGACTTCAGACAGTTTAAGACTTGAAGCATACTCCATTCGAAGCCGAGCAGTCGACTCGTGGTTGCTGGATGTTTGTTTTCACACACACACCATGAGAGACGGTCGGATGCAGAGTCTTGGGGAAACTCGTCCCGCTGCAGTATACGTCACCGCACACGTTTATTCTCACCAGTCTCTCCACTCAGTCCCTGCGTCCCCCATCTGGTCACAAATCTATCATGAAGAAAACGTCTCCCTTTTCAGCAGATCGTCTCTGTGCACAATGTCTGCGCGATCACCATCCAGGAGTTTTTGACCATTTGACTAATTTGGTGTGTTTGAAGAGCTGAATGTTCGAGTGCATTTCTGCGTGACAAACACGCCCTCAAACTTCTGACCAATCACACAATACTTGACCCATTATCTTTTACTCGCTTCTTCTTTTCCTGGTTGCGGGAGTCACCGGTGCCCATATCCAGCAGTCACTGTGCGAGAGGCGGACACCTTGGACTGGTTTTCAGTCCATCGCAGGGACACAGAGAGACAAACAACCACTCGCACTCGAGACGTTTTAGTGTTACCAGTTAGTCCAACATGCATGTTTTTGGTTAGAAAATGTTCACACAATGCAAACTGCACTCGGAAAGGACCCCGGTCAGGATTAAATCTGGCAACATTTTTAATGAAACAACAGTTCTAAGAACAGCGCCACCGTGCTGCCTGGTCAACAAAATGAATAAACATGGGGGAGAAAAGGACAAATGCAAATACAAATGTTTTTTCAGGAGAAGGAGATGATCAATTAATCAATCCATGTCTGACACCAACCGAGTCGTGCAAGTTTAACCCAAATGGAAACCTTCTTTTGACTACCAATTCTGAAGAGTCTGTTTAGTTTTATATAATATACCGGTAGTTTTTATTTTATTTTTTTTTAAACATAAGGATAAATAAAATAAGGGGTGCATCAATTTATCGGCCCCGATTTCCTTAATTTTGGGAAATCAGAAATTGGCCGATACTTGCACGAGAAACCGATTTTACCAATTTTTTTGGTTTTGTTTGAACAATAATTGTCTGAACTTCATTTATATTTCGGAGCACTACCTCATGGCCAGTTAAAACAAGTTTTTATTGCTTCTAAGATATTGTTCAAGGGTATGTTTTTCAATAAAATAATGGAAAATTGAAGGTGCATTGTGACCTTATAACACCTGACAGTGTCTTATTGACACTTAGTGTCTAAGTCATTTAAATTGTATATTTTTATTTCAGACTGAGAGCTTTAAAATATTTAGTTCATCGTGGACAAAAATATGAAATTAGTTTTTTTTAGTAGTTCGGTTAGGCGGATCGTTTACCGTCTAAAGAAGACTTTTTGAACTAAAGGAGGACAAAACAACATTCGTATGATCAGTGCTAACACGTTATCTGTGTTTAGAGAATCGGCTGGTCCTGGTTCAACAGTTCAGGCAGGTTTCCTCAGGGTGTGTGTGTTTTCTTGGTCGAGGGATCATTAAAGTCTCATCGGTTCGTGTTGAGAGATTCAGCCGCACAAAAAGCCCGAGTCAGCTTGTGGTCTCAAACCTCCACGATCAGCTTCCAGACATGTTCTCAGGTTTTATCAGGAGAGTTCTGCTAAAAACACAACCAGCAGATCCAGATGATGTGCAGATAGTTCCTCAGAGACCGAGTACTGATCCGACTTGTACCCCTCAGCAGAAGTGACACAAATCCTGCAGATGAAAACAAACACGAGGTGTGAGCACGTCTCCAAACCATCTTAGAAGGATTTCCAGGAATGTGTCAAGGGAGAACTATAAACATCACCTGAAGCATCAGCTGTTCTGAGAACAGCTGCCTGATCTAATTATCTCTTTATAAAACGTTTGTTGAACCAGAACCAGCAGAAGTTCTTCTGGGTTTTTGCTTATACAGGAAATCTTTTTTTGGGTTCTCCAGGTGTATCCGGAACTGCAGGACCCGTCTCAGGCCTGCCTGCCTGAGTCGTCCTTCCTCACCTGTTCGTCTGACAACACCATCCGGCTGTGGAACACCAACCCCTCCACCAGAAACGGGAACCTCTACAGCCAAGTAAGGACCCACCTACCCCCACGGTGTGAGGGGTTCATCCTCAGGAGAGCTCTTGATGAGTCTCTGTGCATTTCCAGGACCTGCTGAGGATCCTGTATGTGGGGGAGAACATGCAGCACCTGCAGGGGGAGAGGGGGGAGGCAGCAGGGGCTGATGGGAAGGCAGGGGTTCGAATCCTGGGAGTCAGTCCAGATGGACAGCACCTGGCTGCGGGGGATCGCTGTGGAAACCTGCGGTGAGACAGGGAACAAACACACACACACACGTGTGACGAGCTCTAATGACACGTTTCCTGTTTCAGGATCTTCGGTCTGCAGTTTCTGGATGAACTGGTGAAAATCGAAGCTCACGACTCGGACGTGTTGTGTCTGGAGTTTTCTCCCCTGTCCACAGGTGAGCAGCTCCCACAGGTGAGGTCTCTGCAGCCTGCGGGACCTCTGAAGGGTTCAATCTGATGCTGCGGTTTACTGACGGATCTGCTCACTCAGGCTTCAGCAGCTCAACCATGAGCTGTTTGTTCTGACACCCGTTCTCTGTTTCAGGTGTGAAGCTGTTGGCTTCAGCCAGCAGGGATCGGCTGATCCACGTCTTCAACCTGGAGAGAAACTACAGTCTGGAACAAACTCTGAGCGACCACTCAGCCTCCATCACTGCAGTTAAATTTACAGGTAGCGACAGGTGGTCCACACCTGCTCTCACTGGCTGAGTGAGACGAATCATTCATGCATCCCAGAACCAGTAATGGATCAGAACCATGCTCTGTAATGATCTTTCAGTGCCAGTCGGGCTGAGACGGGTCACTTCCTGTGTTTCAGGTGAGAATCCAGAGGTCCGAATGGTGAGCTGCGGAGCCGACAAAAGCATTTACTTCTGCACGGGCGAGCAGGTCAGAACACGCTCTGCATCCCAGAGAATGGCAAAGATAAGATGGGAATTCACTGAAAACATGGCTCACCTATCTGTTACGGAAGCACGATCCGTAGTGTACTTCCGGGTCGCACGGATCGCCGTTGTTTATGAATAAAAACGGTCTTAATTTACTTAGAAAAGTACGTGTTCTATCTCCACCAATCTTCATGTAGCTAATTTACGCCACTCATATTTCTATTACAAATCACTGGTTAAAATGATACGCGACCCATTAGACCTGACCCCCAGCCTGGCCTGAATGAGAAAACTTTGCAAGATACAGAATGAATCATTTCCACGGTGAAACAGCGCCGCTCGGTGGTGAAGCTGCGTTTCATTTAAACCATGACGTAAATATGTGAACGAGATTAACAGAAATACAAGTTGCGTAAATGCGCAACACTACGGATCGTGCTTTCGTAACGGATCGGGGAATGACACTGCAGAAGAACCAGAACATCTGGGCTGTCAGCAGAAACTTTAGCCTCAAACAGTCAGAAAGCTCAACAACAGAAATGTGCATTTTAAGCAAAACCACAGAATTTATCCTGTAATTACCATAATTCTCGGGCTACAAAACGCACCTGTCTGTAAGTGCGCATACTGAATTTGAGATGAATCACAATTTTGTACATAAATAAGACCGTTATTAAGCTGCGGGCATCCACTGTTCATTTTCAGGACCTGTGCCCAGCTACAGCAAAATGTGCATCTCTTTCTTGTTGTGGTTCAAGAATCAGCCACCGGATGGCGATTCATAGACTATGGCTTGGTGATCGTCATAAGTCTTCACGATGCTTCGTCGTCTGACTTATTCAAACTACAAAATGAACACAAGAACTATCCATCCATCCATCCATTATCTTTACCCGTTTATTCCATTTTGGGTCACGGGGGTCGCTGGTGCCCATGTCCAGCAATCACTGTGCGAGGGGCGGGGTACACCCTGGACATGTCTCCAGTCCATCACAGGGACACATAGAGACAAACGAGACAAACAACCATTCACTCTCTCACTCACACCTAGGGACAATTTTAGAGTTACCAATCAGCCTAACATGCATGTTTTTGGTCTGTGGGAGGAAACCGGGGTACCCGGAGAAAACCCACGCATGCATGGAGAGAACATGCAATCTCCACCCAGAAGGCACCTGGACCGGGGTTTGAACCAGGGACCTGTTCGCTGAGAGGCAGCAGCTCTACCAGTTGCGCCACCGTGCTGCCCAACACAAGAACTATTTAAGTATAATCACTTGACAGAACAGTGTCAAACACCTACGCAACCAAAATTATTTAAAAATTATTTACCAGTCAATTTTACCCAGAAGTCTTATCGAGGTCACATGACCAGAAATCAAACCGTACCGGTAAAACACGTTAAATATTCATTAAATTAGTACCATCCATCCTTTATCTTTACCAGCTTGTTCATTTTTGGGTCTTGTGGGTCACTGGTGCCCATGTCCAGCAGTCACTGTGCAAGGGGCGGGGGACACCCTGGACATGTCTCCAGTCCATCACAGGGACACATAGAGACAAACGAGACAAACATTCACTCTCTCTCTCACCTTGAGACCATTTAGAGTTACCAGTCAGCCCAACATGCAAGTTTTTGGTCTGTGGGAGGAAACTGGAGCACCTGGAGAAAACCACACATGCACGGAGAGAACATGCAAACCGCACACTGAAAGGTCCCCGGACCGGGATTTGAACCAGGATAACCTTCTCGCTGAGAGGCAGAAACTCTACCAACTGCGCCACCGTGTACCATTGATTTAAAAAAAAAATAATAAAAATTATTATTGCTAAACACTTTTTGTAACAGCAGCTGTTTTTAAATGTACTTTCCAAATAAATTTGACGTGATTTCTGCTCAGCGGAGCTCATACGAGACTGAAGGGGGAACCTCCCTCCCTTTGTCTCCGCTCCGTCCTGGAATGTGAGTTTAAGTGATATACCGGTATTTAAACACATTTACCGTACACAGAAAGAATTTAAAAACTTTTATTAAAATATGCACCAGACTTGACGACTTTAAAAATAAATTTGGACAACTTCTGATCAGCGGAGCCACGTGACCTGAAGGGGAACAGACGACAAATGTTTTTTTTTGTTTGTTTTTTCTGAAAAATGCCTTAACACGGTTAAAAACAATAATAAAAAAGTACCGGTATTCAACCAAAATTCACTCATCACAATCAATGTTCTTCGTCTTCCTGTGAACTAAAGTCCTCTGAGCCTCAGGAAAACGTCAAACACCGCCTCCATCTTGCTCCCGGCAGCCGTTTCCTTCTTCGACAGCCAGATCGATTGCTTTTAACTTGAAAGCTGCATCATAAGAAATTCTCTGTGCGTTTTCCATTATCGCTGCAGATGAACAGGTCTGTGCATGAGGCGCAAAATACAGTAACTGATCTGAGAGTGGTGAAGGCTGCACAGAAGTCTGTCAGAGTCAGTCTCCCCACCATCACTTCTACACCTCCAGATGCAGGAAGAGAGCCACCTGCATCATGAAGGGCCCCACTCACCCAGCACACACACTCTGCCCCGCTCCACTCAGGAAGGAGGTTGAGGAGCATTAAGTGTAGAACCACTAGACTGAGGAACAGCTTCTACCCTGAGGCTGTTAAACTCATGAATCTCTAACCAGAATAATCACTGTGAAAAACCATATCATGTTGCTGCTGATCTGTTTCATGTTGCTGCTGATCTGTTTCATGTTGCTGTGTTCATGCGTGCTCATCTGCTCACACAGACTCATGTTCGTGCTGCTGTTTTTTATGCTATTGGTGCATATTTAGTTAATGTTTTTCTTAGTTCATATCTTAGATCTTATTACTGTTTTTCTTTTACATTTTATTGTTTGATGTAACTGGGACCCTGTTTCCATAATTTCGTTCCACCACATGTACCACATGAGGTGTGCATGACGAATAAAGAACCTCGAATCCTTAAAAAAATTAATGCACGTCTGTCTTGGGGGGTGGTCCCTTAGTATACGTCATTGGATCTAAGGTTAGACTTCTGGTCACATGATGACAGAGTGGGTGGAGTTATGGTAGGAAATTTGAAACCTGGAGCTAGAGGCCTGTAGATGCCTGAGGGCGTTCACTCTGTGACACAAAAAGCCCCGCCCCCCCAAGAGAGGTGGGCGCTGGGCAGCTGTATGAGCACCCAGCTCTGTCAAAGGAAAATGTTATTCAGTGGCAGGAAGTTGCCAAGGGACGGAAGGAAGTCTGTCAAAATAAAATGTAAAAATTGAAATTATGAAGGAAAAAAAAAACCACACAAATTAGTCTCCTGCATATAAACCGCGGGGTACAAAGTGAGAAAAAAGTAGCGGCTTGTACACCGGCAATTACGGTTTTTAATTGCTCAGCAAATGGAAATGGCCAATGTGGGTAAGATGTAAACAGTAATGCGCTCAACTAAGAGTTTGGTCGTTCAGTGAGACCACGGCTCTGAAACTGCTCCTGGTTTATCGAAACTCCTGATCCGGATCTGAATGACCGAGTTCTGTTGTACGTTCTCATCCAGACAGTGGACGGTTTGACGTTCTCCAGGAGTCACCATGTGGTGGAGAAGACCACCCTGTACGACATGGATCTGGACTCGTCCAGGACTCACGTCGCCATAGCGTGTCAGGACCGAAATGTCAGGTAAAACCTCAACTAACCGACGTCCGTCTGGGTCAAAGCTGCTGTTAAAGGTCCGGTCTGTGCTCAGAGTGTACAACGTGGAAACGGGGAAACTGAAGAAGTGTTTGAAAGGATCGAGCAGTGATGAAGGCTCCCTGCTGAAGGTGAATACAACTGAAACTTTCATGAAAACAAGGACCGGATCAACAGTCGTCTGCTTCGTGACTCTGCTGATCCGGGTCAACATTCACATTATCTGTGCCTCTGGTGGTCCTCAGGTCCAGATGGATCCTTCAGGGTCGTTCTTCGCCACCAGCTGCTCCGATAAAAACATCACCATCTATGACTACGAGTCAGGAGAGTGTGTCGCCACCCTGTTCGGACACTCTGGTGAGCAAACCTGTTGATCACCTGCTGCTGTAAAAAGCAGGCAGTCGTGTTTGTCTCATGAACCAACCTGTTTAAGATGGCCGCCACAGTTAATGAATGTTAAGTCATCACAGAAATGTACAAAAAGTATTTTTATTGTGGTAGTAGCTGAGAGTCATCCTTTGTTTATGAAGCCATATTGTTGTTGTTGTTTGATGATGACAACGTCGTCGTCAAACAACAACAATATGGCTTCATGTATAAATTCTGTTTTAAAAATTATTTTAAAATGAATCCAACAACCTTGAAAGATTGCATATCGCCCGCTGCCTCGCAGGCTAAGGTTATAAACAGAGGATGACGACGACGACGTACTGTTTACCACCACAGTTTCTTTAATTGATTTAAAGACTGGTTTAATTCTGACCAGGAGGTAAAACTCTGCCTGAAAGTTTAACAAAAAAAATTCACATCTTCCTTCAGAAACATGTTTATATTTGTAAACAAATAGTTTGTTCATGTGTTGTTTGGTGGGATATTTACTGTTTCCTGGGTGAATTGTTTATTTGTTGTCAGAGATCGTCACCTGCATGAGGTTCAGTCAGGACTGCAGACACCTGATCTCCGTGTCAGGAGACAGGTAAGCCCTCCTCACGCCACATGATGTCGCAGCCACCAGCAGGTCTGAGCTGCCGTCTGCTTTCTTGTTGTGCAGCTGTGTGTTCGTGTGGAGGTTGGACCCTCACATGACCAGCACCATGAGGAAGAGGCGGGGCCTCAGAGCGGCGCAGGACACCTGCAGCCAGAAGCAGACGAACATCAGGTGGGTGAGGTGTTCCTCGCTGCTGATGGAGGAGGAGGGGGGTTGTGTTAGCTTCATGATGGTCTGGTTTCAGGAGGGAGACCTTCATCACGATGCCTTCAGCGCCTCTGCTTCAGGTGCTGGAAGAGGAGCAGGAAGAGTCAGACCTCAAGACTCCAGGAAAACTGGGCCCAGGTCCTGATGAGGAGGAGGTGGTCGTTAAATCACCTGAAGGTAAAGAGAAAAACTAGGGATGCACGATATTGGACTTTTGGCTGATGTCCAATATGCCGATATGTTAAAACTTATTTGGCTGATAACCGATACCGATACTTTTTCCGTAGACCTACTTACAGAGACTACAGAGCTTTCTCTGCTGTGGAATTAAAATACATTATTCTTCATGGTCTTCGTCAGTTTGGACTGTTGCCAAATGCAGATGCCAGAAATGGGGCTGAAAATGATGCAACACTTCGACTTGGATTATGTTTAATGTCAAATTTATTCATGACATTTACTTTATCTAACACAATGACAACACTCGAACAGTGAAAGTTTGTAAATTTTCACAAATCTAACTCAACATGTTCACAGTGACACATGAAAAGCACATAAGTAGTGCATTAATATATATACTTGACAGTTTCTTAAATTCATTCATTCAAGCTTTATTTAGACGTGTTAATCCCATTGAGCCTCGAGGACTCATTTACAAGAGAGACCTGATTTCATCGAAGAATGATGACAACAATGGACAGTTATAAAAAGGCATACATATTTTTATTTTATTTTATTTTATTTTTACAAATAAGATGGCTAAGAAAAGTAACAAAAAACAGCTAGATTCTAAGGTGAATGTAGAAAACTAAAAACAGGAACATGTCTGCATTGATCCCTGCCAGGAGTCCAACAGATTCTTAAAGTCACTTAGAGAGGTCGAAGGTCGAGAGCTTCAAATCTTTGTAAGATGTTCCAGGAAAATTAAAAATGAACTTAAAACACAAGACTTTAATATCGGTGAGTTATTTTGATGTAATGGCCGATGTCTGATATTTTAACTTTATCACTAATGTCGGCCGATACCATGCCGATAATATGCATCCCTAAGAAAAACTGAATAAATCCAACAGCTGCTTCACAATATTTTAACCAAACTGATGGGCGGTTCCGGTCCGTGTAGAGTCACCGAGGTGTTAGTTTTTATTACTTAGAGTTAAACTTTTATTTTTGTGTTTTGGTCTAAATGCGTTTAGAGGTGGAGGAGGCAGAAAATCTGCTGTTTCCAGATTTTATTTCATGTTCAAAACAAAAACGGACCCAAACAGAACTTTTCACATTTTGTTCTGTAGAGGATGGACGAACTGACAGTCAGGCCTGACCTGACAGATGTCTGCAGATGTTATTCGGAACAGACTCGAGGTGCAGTGAGTTTAAAGGTGGTGGTCACGCAGGCGAGTAACAAAGCTGTCACCGGTTCTTGACCCGTTCAGAGCGCACCGTTCTCCTCTCTGTCGTCTACTTCCTTCAGTTAGATTCACCCGGGGTTTCATGATAGTTGGGTGCTCTATGGTTCTTCTTTCAGCTTTTTCCTCTTCAGGGGTCTCCACAGCGAGTCGTCCTCCACCTCACTCTGTCCTCTGCGTCCTCTGTCCTCACTCCAACTACCTCCATGTCCTCTCTAACTGCATCCATAGATCTTCATCCTTCTACCAGTATAATCACTGTCCCTCCTCTGGACATGTCCAAACCACTGTCCCTCCTCTGGACATGTCCAAACCATCTCATCTAACTTTATCTCCCAGTTGTTCAACCTGTGCTGTACCTCTGATGATCTCATTTCTAATCTTCTCCATCCTTGTCACTCCTGAGAACCTCAACATCTTCATTTCTGCTACTTCCAGTTCTGTCTCCTGTCTTTTTGTCCATGTCTGTCTCCAGACCATACAACATAGCTGGTCTCACCACTGTCTAGTAAACTTTTCCTTTGACCTTTCCTGCTACAACTTTTATCACAAATAACTCCTGAAACTTTTCTCCATCCACTCCATCCTGCCTGGACTCTCTTTACCACACTCCACATTTTCATGGACAGTGGACTCCAAGTCCTTGAAGTCCTGCACCTTTGTGTTTCTTCTCTATGGTTGTTTGTTTCATATCGTTCCCTTTATACAACTGTTTAAAAACTAAACGTTCCATCTGTGGAGCTCTCCTTTAATTTACTGACCAGCTCCATCTAGTTTGGAGTTAGTCCGAGATTTTTTCCTCATTGTGATTTCAAACACGTCTTTAAACGCAGCGTCAGATTATGGTCCCCTGTCGTGGAACAAAGAGGGGAATTGCAAATACTTTCCATCTTCCCATGTTGTGAGTGAAATAACTTGGAATAATAAGTGAGGTACCAGCCTCCACTTTGGTGTGTGGCTGCATCTAGTGTAAAAAAGGTCCCTATCAAAATTCAAGATGGCTGCTATATTCACATCTTTATCATCTGAACATTTACAAGAAATGTTCCTTAAACATCAGCAACGGCTCAACTTAACGTTACGTTTTAAAACCAGATCAAACCTTTCATATAAACTGGAGTTTGTTTCAGCGTCTCTTCAAACGGGTCCTTAAACGCAGCGTCTGGTCAGGTTCTGGTTCTGATCCAGAGGTGTTTGTGTTTCAGTCACTTCGCTGCTCCACACCAACGGGAAGCTCCCCACATGGTTCAGAAAGCTGGTAAGTTCTGACTCCGTCCACGTCTGATGGATCACCGCGCTGACTGACCCGCCGCTGCTTCCTGTCCTGCAGGCTCAAGGCGAAGACGCCTCTGTTCAGTCAGACGCTGAGCCTCGTCGGGTACGGAGCCGGTGGGCGGAGCAGCCAAACACTCTGATCGTCTGTGCCAACTCCACCCCGAGCCCCACCAGGAGTCAGGACGAAGACGAGGAGGAGGAGGAAGACTTTCACGTTCAGAGTCTGGAGAGGCTGCTGGCAGATGATGAGGAGGAGGGGGTGAGCGTGCTGAATCTAGATCCTCGGTCATTTCACAGGAAGTTGTTTATTTGAACATCTCACCGTGTGGCGTTCAGGTGCTGCAGACAGCAGGTGAAGGCAACACGTTCATCGTCCCCTCGGACTCGAGCTCTGCGTCCTCCGACAGGTGAGTTTCTCTCACAAAGGCCAGACTTCCCGTGTTTCTGTTGGATTCTGAAGAAGACTTCCTGTTTTCAGAGTCGAGGGTGTCTCCTGTTCTCAGCTGGAGACCAGCGTTCAGGGGGCGGAGCCTGTGTGGAGGACTCAGCTGAGTCCGGACTCTGCGTGTTCTGAAGGGTCCACAGGAAGTCTGGAGCAGCAGCACGACGCCGGTCAGAGTTCTAGGTTTTTAACGCTCTTTAGTTTCTGTAGCAAGTGGACAACAACCTGTCCCTCTGATGGACCTAAAACTTGTCCCTCTGATGGACCTAAAAC